AACTAAGCGTGGGAACAAATATCTTCAAATACAGTTTTAAGAGCATTTTCGTTTAAGAAAATAAAAGTTTTGACGATAGTGCCACTTTAAATTAATCAGCACATAATGCATATATATGCATGTTGGACGAAACCAAATTAAAGTTTTAAATAACTTCGTTAGGACAGAGACCATTGCTTTTTGATTCATTTCCCCCATTTTTTTCCTCGGCACACATTGAAAATTTGTCCAACTCAGATCGTTTTTCAATTTTTCTGGGGGACGCCTATGTCACTAGTCTATATATATCTTATCTCTTTGGCAAAAACAACGTTTCTAATTCTTGACTTAAGAGTGCATGCCATACATTGTGCTTGTTTGTGAGAGTTGCAATTTTGATTATAAAAAGTTTCTTTGTTGTAACTAAACTGATAAAGAACTGCACTTTCTTGTTTTTGTTCATTATCTGAAACTCTGGCGCAAAGCCATGCAGACCTATATATAGCTATACTGCTTTTTTGTCATTAAGTTATTAATCATAGACCATAGTAAAATTTTGCCTTTGGAAAATGGTTTACACTGATTCAAAGAAAACTTCAAACGTTTTTAGACCTGTAAAACATAAAGCCTGCATGGGGTATAATGTGTGGAATTTAGCCTTAGTCGAAAAAGCCAGCTAATGGGCGGAAGATCATACCAATGGGCAATTATCTGCAATACCGGATGACGTTCTCCATTGGTAGAACATGCTTCCTTGAAAGGTTTTAGACTTTTGTGGTCACTTTTTGCAGCTATCCTAAAGCTCTGGGGCACGAGAGTGAGAAAACTCTCATGCAAACTGTCGCTTGCCAACTCTCAAGATCTAGAAGCCTCTTTGTTCTGAGCTTAGGTTTAAGTCTTTGGCTTAGAATAGAATAGACACGGAAGTGTCAGTCAAAACGTTGTGCTTAAATCTTAATCTTGTACAAAGTATTTGATTGGAACTATTGAAGTTTCTCTGTCTTTCACTACACAATATTCTTCGCTATTAAAGAAGCAAAATTCAGCCAAGTTAATATTTCTAATAACTATGACTCAGCTTAGCCTGCTCGCAGTCTGAAATTTGGAAAGGGAAAATTTCACTCAGCTGCGCCGCAGTGGAAATTAACTTCATTTTTCGATTATACGCCACATTTTATGCTTGATCGACAAAGAAAACTTCAAGTTTTTTGACCTGTAAAACACGAAGCCCTGGTGTGTGTGGAGTTTAGCTTTAGGGGAAAAATCCAGCTATAATGAGCGGAAGATCATACCAATGGGTAATTATCTGAAGTACCGCGCGGATGATGGTAGAACTTGCCCTATAGAACTTGCTTCCTTGAAAGGTTTCAAAGCCCGTTTACACTTGCAATTTTCGCTGTGATTTCCTTCTTCCAATGCATGTGAACGAATATATGAGTAAGGGAATGTTCTGAGTAGCTATATGTGTACCCCCATCTGATAAAATCGCACCTAAAATCGCAGCAAAATTGCAAGTTCAAACCGGTCCTTCAGTGTGAGAGGAACAACAGCTTAGGAAATGCAGCACTGTCTGCGACACGCTCATAGTGCACCTATACAGTACCTGTGAGAAGGTATATGCGCGCAGTAAACCTTAAATAAGAGAGTTTGAGCAAGACAACGAAGACGAAGGCATACTTGACAATTTTTGCCGTGTGCACATTACCTTGCGCATACTGAGTTGGACGTCACTGGTGGTTGCTCAACGTGTCGGCTTCTCATGTGTTGCTGTTTATGAATACTGACCCTAATTCTTGCCCTGATCCAGAAACGAACAGCGAGACATGAACCTATATCCCGTCTTTGTCCTTCTGCCTTCGTGCAGAACGAAGTTCACAACGAATTTTGCCAAAATATTCGTTGTGAACGAAGGCAGAAGAACGAAGACGGCATATGGATTCATGTCTCGCTGTTTTATTCTGATCAGGGTAAGGATTTGAGTCAGCATTCACAAACAACTAGACATGAATCTCTAATCTGTCTTCACTCCTGACCCTAAACTCAGAATGCGCAAGATAATGTGCAAGACAGGCAAAAATTGTCAACCACGTCGTCGTCGTCCAATTTCGTTCTCTTGCTCAAACTCTCTATAGACTTGCACTCGGACTTGCATAGCCATGCATATTAATGATATTGTGTCTTGATTCTTAGAGGTTATAACAAGGACAGCACCTGCCAGAGGCTTCCACCATGACCCTGAACTGAATGCACTTGCTAGAGATATACCGAAGATCAGTTTTGTGGTTACTTTCTGCAGCTATCCCAAAGCTCAGGGCAAACGCGATGATGAGACTCGATAACACATATCACGCCGAACTCGGCTTGTTCTCGCCGTTTGACTGGGGCACGAGGGTTGTAAAACTTCTCATGCTGAATCTCTCGCGCTTGCCAACTCTCGGCACTGATTAATATATTAAAGTATAACCCTCTTTGTTCTGAGCTTAAGTTAAGTCTTTTGCTTTAAAAATAACAGAGAAGAATCCACGGAAGTATCAGGCAAAACTTTGTATACATAATCTTGTATACAAAGAATTTTATCGGAACTATTGAAATCTCTTTGTCTTCGATTAAACAGTATTCTTTTACCAAACGGACGTAAAAGTAAGCTTCCTGAATTTCCGACGAAACTATAGTGCGCTTTATACTCAGTCTCGAATCCGTTCCAGTAGTTTTTTTCCTGTTAAAAGTTCCGTCAATTTTTAGTTTAGTTTACGCTTTGGTGGGCGGTTAATACAAATTTCCGCCTCTGTCAAAATGTATCAAACTTGTATTGAATCTCCGCCGGATCAAATGATAATGAGTTGGCTATCATTCGACCTTGGTTATAGCTGTTCTTAATGCTTTTCTAATACTATACCATGTATTTTATTGACAAGTTATATATAGCTTTAAATCCAATTAATCTTTCCCTTATATACAAATAGTCTTAATTTAAACCTTTTGAATGTCGACCGAGAATTTAGTCACAATTTCCTGGTCTACGAAAGCTATAGGTATATATATATATATATATATATATATACCTCTAGGGTTACTGCATGTATATAGCAACTCGTTGGATCGATAGCTCACTGTGTAGATCGAACGGCGGTCTATAGCGCGTAAAAATCTCCCAGCTAATTGTCAACAAGATGTGTTCGCACTGCTTGTTCCCAGTTGTTGACAAGTCTAGAACAAGTTGTTGCCATCTTGTAACAAGGTTGATGAGGCCAACAGACTCGCAACAAGTTGTTCCAACAAGTCTGATGTCGTCTGCACGTAACAAGTCGGACGACAGCTTGTATAAGCTCCTAACAACTTGTTACGAACAGTCTGTATTAGTTTTATTGGAACAACTTTTCGCAACAAGCTAACCCGAAGTTATACAACGAGTTCGAATCAAACACAAGACACTTCTTTGTTCTGTGGCTTGCAGTAAGTAGTATGAAGATTGTTTACGTTCTGTAACGATGACTCTGTGATAGCAATTGCCAAAGAGTAGCTGCATTCGACTATTATTGTATCAAAATAATCAGCAACGAATTCAGTAATACAAGCAGTATACTAGCTATAGTGGAGCCGTTATGCAAACGTTTCTGTGATGAAAGACAGTACCATGCAGAGCACACATTTTTCACTTTGAATTAAGACTGACTTTAGAAAGAGATTTAAGCTGTCATATATACTTCAATAATGTAAACCAGTCCTAGCAAGCATACTATAAGAATACCAAGTCTGAAACGTAACAATATTCAAATACAACTGCAACTGCGTATGCCAATATTCTGGGGCCAATATTAACCCTATTCGTTAACCACTTACCAGAAATCATCGCCTTGTATCATTTAGTCCGTAGCGAAACCAAGAACAATCCAAAACACCGTGGAAATATTCCCAAGTCTATGCCAAACGGTCGAAGGGACCACAGTATGGTCTTGACATTACCGATATATTCTTCCAATTCGCAAACAAACCAAGCCTGTGTCTTGCTGGCTTGAGAGAATGGTCTGGTATAATGAGCAATACCTACACGCAGAGATAAGCATGGAAAAAATGGCATAATTATCCAAGACTCTTGCTGAGGTCTCGAGACCTTGCTATCTTTGTATTGTATACCGTCGAAAAACAGCGTGAAGTCTGCGAGAAAAAAAAAACGCAACCAAAATTTAGCTGGAAAATACATGCAAAAATTAAACATCTTCAATTTCACATTCGTTTCATGCCCATGAATTTACAGATCGTCTCATTTAAACAAAATGCATAAAGAAAGTCCCTAACAACTAACGCAATATACATAGAATTTAAATGCTTGGTTACCTAAGTTATATTCCATGCTAACCATTTAATGTTAGGCAATTATATATCAAAACAATGATAACTCACAAGTTCCTTGTAGTATGATACCAAAAGTTAAATGGGTTTTTATACATAGAAATATCGAACGGAAGGTTATGGTATATGTACAATTTTCAGACCTATAGGAAATATAACCAGGACTATCGCTACGAAAAATGTAACTATATATACTATATACTATACTAGGCTCTCTGGCAGGAATTGAACGTGCTGCCCTGCCATTCCGGTGCAGCGCTCTAACCAACTGAGCTACAGAGTCCAGTTGTCGAGCTCCAAGTCTAGTAGCTTTTCCAAAAAGGGCAATGCAATGATATTAAGTAGTGTTTTCCACTGCAGTGATAGCAAGCAAGGCTGCACGTATAAGTCGCCCGAGAATGGTTTAATTCAATTAATTGTATAGCAACGGGCATAAACAAACATGGCTGTTCAGGTCAATTAAAAAACATGGATACAGATTACAGGGCCAATGGCATTAAATTCCGGTTCCATTAAATTCCGGTTAAATTCCGAATAAATGCGTGTAAAGATGTGTACCGAGTCAAGCACACAACTCACCAACGACAAAGTGGGCGAATTGAGTGCCTGATTTACACAGTACAATTCAAGTTGGAACTTGTAAGTTGTATGTGACAGTTTTAAAGGGGCAAATGTCCCCCCCCACGAAATCACATTTTGCTCCCCCCCCCTCCCATGAGCGAAATGAGAAGATTCGTATGTTTTCTATTTCTTAAACAGGGAACTTAAACATTAAGTTAAACCTATTCGAAATACATTTTTAAACTATTCAAATTATGAAAGTTATTGTTGTTTTTAGTAAGCGAGTGGGAACTACCAACATGGCCGCCATCTATTCAAATGGGGGTAACCGCTGGAATATTCTTGCCTTCAATTTTACTAAACGAGATGCGCTATAACTCGCTATCTATGTGCTGGACCCAATTGACCATTTGCGTAATAGACTAAATTTTGAACTAAACAAGTCTAGACAAAAATTTCATCACAGCTTGAAGGAGCATCACAAAATTAGTAATATTCCAAAGTTTCGTTGCAAAATGTTGTAAAATGCGGAAAATATAGCCTTGCGAAATTTGCAATTTTCAGTCATTTTAGATTACAAATGGGAAATTGACAGCCCCAAACCTTTCGAGGCTGTCAATTTCCAGTTTGTAATCTAAAATGACTGAAAATTGCAAATTTCGCAAGGCTATATTTTCCGCATTTTACAACATTTTGCAACGAAACTTTGGATTATTACTAATTTTGTGATGCTCTTTCAAGCTGTAATGAAATTTTTGTTGAGATCAAAATTTAGTCTATTACGCAAATGGTCAATTGAACGGGTCTTCAAATGTTTTTATGCGATCACTGCGTGCGAGCACTCTATAAACAGACTTCCTGTGGTCTGTATCAAGGGATGATGGACATCCAATTTGTCAATAACCAAGGCGAGATGTCAACATGCACAGGCCTGCAACTGTGCAAGACCACACTAGTGGGATTCGCTAAAGGTTTTGAAGCTTCTTGCATTTACTTTCGTATGAATTTAATACGGTTTCGAACGAGTAAAACAGAGCTTTATACCTTCCGAGCAATTTTGACCATCTCTGCTAGAAAAAGCTGTCACGGACTAAATTCTAGGCAAGAACAAAATCCATCAAATACTCTTTCTAGCTGTGGTGATGGATTCTGTTCTTCTTGCCTAGATTAAAATTTAGTCTGTAGCTGGGGAATCATCTATTAAAATGCTAACCTACTAAACGAGACTTGAAAATATGTATTTTAATTGATGATTCCCCTTATTACGTTTTCGTAGCGCTTTGCATTGTGGTTATAGTGGTATCACTGATAAAGATAGCGGCCTCGAATGAAAATATTGGAATGTTTTCGCGAATATTTCGCTGTTGGCTATCGCGCACCTGACCCTAGCTTTTCTTAAAAATTCTTGCACGGGTCAGGACAAAAAATAAGCCATCTTGAAATCAGTGATACCACTATAACCACAATGCAAAGCGCTACGAAAACGTAATAAGGGGAAAGTCCAGCCTAGTTCCTGGCCTTCTCGCTTCCGCCTCATTATTTCAGGGGGAAATCGACAAGGTTTGCAGGTTGACCGGGAAAAAGCTGTATTATTTGGACCCAGTTCGGATACTTTCCGAAGCTGACAGCCCGCAAGTTCACGACAGCCTGTAACTCGCCCGCGCTTGGAAGGCCCAGGGACTAGGCTGGGAAAGGTCTATTGCCGTACGACGACGAACAAAACCCCTGCCAGCCTTCAATTTATTCACTTCTTTTGTGCTACATGATTGATGGTATTGTATTGATAGCCGTACGTCGTCTTCGCGTTGTGGACGTCCTTGTGTAGGCGCCCTAAATCCCAATGCTGGAATGTCAAGTGAATTCTTCCAACACTCCATTTTCATTTACATCGAACGAATCCAGAAACGCGCACTAAAGATCATTGTCCCCTTTTCAAGTTATGGCGAGGCATTAAAGATTACGGGTATCACTACACTGTATAGCTATATACACTATACGACCGGCGTAAAAGCCTTTGCGATCAAGCCCCGTTTAACACTACGCTCAATTTTTGGTACGCCACGGATAAAATTGGTACACGTACCACTTTTTTGGTTCTTGGTAGTCCAAGAGGTACGGTACCAAAAAATGAGCGTAGTGTAAACGGGGCTTAGCTAAATAGGTAGTCCAAGAACCAAAAAAGTGGTACGGGTACCAATTTTATCCGTGCCGTACCAAAAATTGAGCGTAGTGTAAACGGGGCTTAATGACGGACTTGTTTCCAGATCCATATACATCATCAAATTATGGCTTAAGATTACCACGTAAATTTAATAATTGTTTGCAAAACGGACCGTTTCAAACAGTCCTTTTTCCCCCAAATGAGTAGGATTATAACCTAGTTATTTTAGTATTTAGCCATCACAATTTATTCTTATTGTAATATAGTTGTAGTATATTTTTTAGTCATAACTTCATGTTGCTAAAAACTTCTGTAATTTAACCTTTTCGTTACAAAAGAGTTCATTTTTAATCAATAAATAATAATAATAAAAAAAATAACTAATAACACTCCATAACTGCGAGTGTGAATTTTAGGGATTTTATCTGACATGAATTAGTGTGGTTAGAACAAGGGGGAATTTCGTTCTCGACCAATCAGCGCTTTTGTTTACATTTTTGCCCTAAGCCAATCAGAATGCGTAAAACGCTTCATCACATGAAATTTGTAAACAAACATATGGGGTTACTTCAGAGCTTTTCTGCAAGCGGTTTTTTGGTTTTTTGCCATGAAATTCATATATGTTGTTCTTAAAATAATTCTCCTCAACTTCCTCGTGGCGATTTTTGATTAATTGCGTGATTGCGAAGATATGGGTCTTCAAACTTTGCGTTGCGCAGGCTTAAATACCACCCCTCGAATTTGTAGGTTCCGAACGGATTAGCGTTTTTAAAAGCCTTTCAAATCGAGGTTTGAGACGTTTTATTTTTTAAAAGATACTTTTATCTTCATATTTTCACATTAACTTATTAATATCCTGTGTAACAAGTAAACAGGGCATTTCTGGGTCGGGACAAGTTGACATGTCGATTTCTTGCCAAACAGCGTGGCGATCAATATGGCGAATATCTAAATACAGGGAATTTTTAAAATTTTGTTGGTATAAATGGGATAAAGAAGCTCATCAAATATTTGGACTATGGACCTTCAAACTTGTGCCAAGTATTTATTTGATTGATTAGCTCAATAACTGTTTTTTGGCTCGTTTTTCGTCGATTTCGACATTTAGTCGAGCTTAGTCGACTTCAAAATAATGTGTCAACATTGTCAACATTGCGTGTTGCAGCCTGTGGATATGAATATTTTCGTTTGTTTGACCATAACACTTTTCTTCACTGTTTTTAATCCTTGAATGACAATATATTCATTGGTCTCAGAGTCCTAAACTTAAGGAAGATGGATGACTTTGGGACGGGTCGGTACAAAACCTGGACCCCCACATTTGGACCCCCTTATGGACCCCCACATGGACCCCTTATGGTCCCCCATATGGACCCCATATGTACCCTTACAATAATTCATTACAAAACAAGCATATATTTTCAGGTTTAGCATATTTCCTCTATTTGACCAAGAGAGTCTTATTTTTCCAGCTGTGATCATGCATGAATTAAAGGTTTTAGAAGCGAAGAACTACTTTAGTATCTTTGAACACTCTCCTCTCATTTTCCAGGCATAGATTTTAATTTTAATCTGAACTTTTTAATTATTTTCAACAATTTTTCATTATAATTGAATGGTGACTGGGGGATAATAGTGGTAATATGGGATTATAAATATGTTATTTAACAAATATTTGTGTGAAAGTAAAGGATCTGCGGCAGTGAGTGATCTTTATACATGATTTTAACAGATGACAATGTCTTTCCATTGCTTTCCTTATGGTAAAAGTAAATAAGAATTTTGATGTAAAATCGAGGTAAAATTACAACAAGGCCGGATCACATAGTTGCAAAAAGTGTTTTTTCACCTGATTTATCTGAATTTTTCGAACTGAACGTTTTTAAAACCGTATTTTTTGAAATTCGAAGTCTCTAGACCGTCGGAAATGGCATTTTTAGACTTTCCTACCCAATATTTTAGTATTGCCTAACAATGGAGATAAGTATTGCTACTTTCAGTTTAATGGGAAATTGAGAAAATTTTGGAAATTTGGAGTCTCCAGATCGTCAGAAAGGGTATTTTGCAATTGTCCCCCTGCCACAACACATCTCAACGTCTGTAGTTTGTTTGATTGTTAATTCAGATTATAGAGTTCACTTTTTATGCCCTAAGAATTTCCTGAATTTAACTGAAAATCTACAGGAAATCTACCTGAAATTGTTCATGATCAATATTGGGGGTGTTGCACCCTCCCTCTCTCCCTCCCCCGGTCGCTACGGCCCTGAGAATTTAGAAATTAAATCTGTAGATTTCAGAAGAAACAGCATATACTGGCATTTAACTTTTGAGAATCTTGATGGAAAGACAGCCATATGTACATTTACAACATAGATAACATACGAATATATCTAATTATGAGCGTATATATGCAAGTTTAAATCTCATTTGCGTGGCGTGGTTATCCTCCGTCCAACGTTTTTAGTACGGGATTAAATGTTTCGGAGATTCCTTAAAAAAATCTTCAAAAACCTAAATTCCTTAAAAAATCCTTAAAACTCTTCAAAATTCCTACCCTTAAGGATAATTCCTTAAAAGTGAGAGCACTGTCCCTAACCTCTTACCGCTAACCCCTAACGCATTCCCTCCGACTTCCCCTCTATCCTCCAAGCTAAGCCAATTACATTTATAACTAAAACTTTTGTCTAATGTTTGTGGTTTTGCCATCTGTTACAACGCAATACTTTATTACATACAGTGGCATTACAACGCCAATAGAAGTTTGTTGGTTACAACGTGCGGAACGGGTGACAATTTAGACTAATTTCCTCTATTCCAATATTTGCCGCGGCTATAGTTTGGTGCAGTTTATCAGTCTCTTTGGGGTCCATATGGGGGTCCATAAGGGGGTCCATAAGGGGTCCATAGAGGGGTCCATAAGGGGGTCCAAAAGTGGGGGTCCAGGTTT